TGCTAGGAAAATTCAAGTAATGTTCAATTAACTTTACATTGTTCTTAGGTTGAAGAACAATCAAAAAGAATATCCTAGACACTGGGGGAGGGAGACGGCAGCAGCATGGCGGCTGGGTACCCATCGCCCTACTCTTTCCTAGCTGTCGTCCCCGCCGCTGCCGAGGTCACCGGACCCTTTAGTCTGCGAGTGTTAGTTGTAAGCTCGCCACCCACACACTAGTCGTCTGGTCCACTGGCTCTTCTTTTGCCGCCACTACCAGCCGGAGCGTCAGGTCGGCCGGGTAACTTGCCCTCCCACCGACCCACCAGCCCACGGGCCAGGACCATAGAGGACATGAAGCTGGAGTTCCCCTCCCTCCCAAAACGCAAAGACGACACCGAAGAGTGGTCCTATCCTATGAGAGGAGAGATGCAGGAAATTTTACCTGGATTGTGTTTAGGTCCATATTCTTCTGCTATGAAAAGCAAGCTACCTATACTACAGAAACATGGAATAACACACATAATATGCATAAGACAAAATATTGAAGCAAACTTTATTAAACCAAACTTTCAACAATTATTTAGATATTTAGTCTTGGATATTGCAGATAATCCGGTTGACGATACAACACTTTTTTTTCCCCAATGAATAGTTTATTGATGGGAGCTTGCAAACTGGAGGAAAAGTTCTTGTCCATGGAAATGCAGGGATCTCTAGGAGTGCTGCCTTTGTTATTGCATACATTATAGAAACATTTGGAATGAAGTACAGAGATGCATTTGCTTATGTTCAGGAAAGAAGATTTTGTATTAATCCTAATACTGAGTTTGTCCATCAACTTCAGGAATATGAAGCCATCTACTTAGCAAAATTAACAATACAGATGATATCATCACTGCAGATAGAAAGGTCATCTGTTCATTCTGGTACCACAGGCAGTCTGAAGAGAACACATGAAGAAGAAGAAGAGTTCGGAAGCGTGCAAGTGGGAACTGCACAGAATGGCGGACTCAAGAGCAACGTTATTGAGGATGTGAATTTCTATTTGAGAAGGAGAAAATACTAGAGGAATAATAATGTGAAATGATAAAAACCCAAGTAGTTTCTTTTCAATTATACGTTGCTTCCAGACATGTTACTCTGTAACTTGTTGAGCAACATTTTAAGAAGACTTTGGACTTCTGCAATAGATGGCACTGATGGTTTTAGTCCTTTTTTTAAAAACTTTACAGTTTTATTATAAACCAAGAATTTGGACTTGCAAAGAAGTATTATTGCAATAATGCACTTTTCATACTTGAAATTTATTTGTATGATAGAGTTATTACTTTAAACAAAATGCAAGTTGGGGGGATTTGTTTATAAAATCTGGGTAATTTGTAACAAAAAAGTTTACTAAAGTTGGCTAAAAATTCATTTTTTGTTCTATATATTATATTTTTAAAATAATTTTACAGTTCAATTTTATGATGGAGCTTCATACAGAAACATTAAATGCAGGAATCTGCTACATTTCTTTTTTAGTACCAGTCAATACCTTAATTATCCTTTTATTTTTTTGAAATCTCTTGATCCTTTATCAATAGTCTTAAATCACGGCATTAGCTAACTTCTCTTACTTTAATATGATCCAATTAATGCTTCCTTCCCTATTACCTTCCTAATTTGTTTATTCTATTTTTTAAAAAAGTTTAATGAACAAAGGAAAGTATTTTACTTTATAGTACCAGATGCTCCAAAAAAGAAAGATAATATTAAGTTTCATGCGACTTTCTGTTTGACATTCTTTTCGTAAAAGCCAAAAGTTGTATTTATTCTTTTCAGAGTCACCTAGTTTGTTTTTGTTTTTTTGTCCAAAATGGTTCTAAATAGAATATACCAGTGTAGCACCATTTTCTTTTTTTTAAATGAAGCCCAGAAAAGTGCCTTGCATCATTTTTTAAAAAAAGATAAATCCTCATGACCTCCAAATTAGTATGTAGAACAGTGAAAAATTCCTAATGTTTTTCTGTATTTTTTTCTTTTTTTAAACCATAAATTAGTTTAAACTGAAAGTATGAGGCTTGAAAACCTCAGTAAATTATTTGGAATATGGAATGTTTACTTCTGTTCATTTTCTGTTGTCTTAATGATTCTGTGAGGCTGCTCAGACAAAAGCTTTTCTTTAAAGATGCATTTATTGGGGAAAGTGATTTGTGGAAGACTTAGTGTGTTTTAAATTAACTTTATAATCAGTTCTTTAAGTTATTCCAAATGTCCCCCATAATTTGCAGTAGCAAAGTCACTTTATGGATCCTTGGTTCTCCACGTTTTTATTTATATGTATAAAAATTGTTCTAAGAAAAACATTTTTTCTATCTAGGTATGTGATGTGAGGGAGGAGAGGAGTGTTTTTAACTTTTTGTAGTTTATGACTTTAGGGTAGCACAAACAAAACTCCTTTGTATCTCTGTTTTCTCAGACCTCTCTTGAGGTGCTTTACTAATGGGAATTATTTCCATACATTCTCTTGGTATCAGGAGATACTGTACACCAAGTTACTTGCTTTCCTTTCCTCCCTATGATGTAATAATACAGTAAAAGCTTTTTTATCCAGCACAGTGAGAGAGGTGGAAATGAATTACAATGCTTTGTTAATTAAGAGTTAACTTCTGTGGTGTTCACCACCCTGAAAACAGCATATTGTTAATCCCATTGTGCTACAGTATTCTGTTGTGTAATTAGGTCATTTGGTGTAGTGGTCTAGTGGAGTGAAGATTTGCGTTGGGTGTTCAGAAATACTGGTTGGTGAAGTGTCAGATAACACAGCTTTCCTGAATATAATTCACTATTGGATAGGTCAGCAAAGTTCTGTCTTACAAGCCAAGAATCTAAGATGTTTCATTCTGCAAAGCTGCTTAAAAGAATCCTTCATAATAGTAAATTTAGATTTTAAAAATGAGGCAGTTAAGATTTTTTTCTTAATTTGTTTCTTAAATACACATAGTCTCTCTAGTAGTCTGACCAGGGGTACAGATTTTGGTTATTGATATTCATTTACAGCTGAAAATTTTCCACTTTTTCTATCCATTATAATTTTTATAATGTCACTAAAGTGCCTGCCCGGCACTGTGTATTAAAAACAGTCTCTCACAAACACTAGAAAAAGGGACTGGCTTCATCTTGGTTACAATATTAATGTGGGCATTACATAGGGTTTAGTCTTTGTTTCATATAAAACATTGCAAGTTTCCTTTTTTTTGGATCCATTCTTCCACCTACTATTCAAGTAGCTCTTCTAGTAGGTCTTCTATTCTTATATTTGGTTCCATTTCTGTGATTCCTTTTTTTCCACTAATGTTTCATGATAGAAAGTTAACTAAGATAAATTTAACCAGTCATGATCTATTTTATAGAGTATTTGAATAATGTATGTAAATCTGGGCACAGAATTTAAAGTGAAATTGTATCAAAACATAGGAAAACTGCATTACTGTCTATTTTGAAAGTATGAATAACTTAAATACTGAAATGTTCTAATTCTTAATGGCAGTATTCTTACCTTGTAATTTCAGCTAATTGGTTCATGTTAATTTTTTATTAGATGTTTAAAGAGCAGTTACTTTTGTTTATTGATATCTACTCTATGGTGGAAATGATAAACCGTGATAGCATTTGCTATCAACTCTCAACCACTTAAATTTCAGAGCAGAATATTAGTTTTGGGGGGATTTTGTGCTTCATCTGAGTTTAGAAGTAGTGTCAGAAAATGTGAAACATGTCCTTTTTAAGAAAATATAAGATTTCTAATTGTCTTATTACTATGGTAATTAAAGTGAATTAGAAATATTTAACTGCAATCTTGAATTATAAAGTTAGGATGTATACGTCGGATCTCAACTTGATGTAAAGTAAGTGAGAAGTTACCTGGTGGATTTTTTTTTTAATAACTGATTTAACCTGTAATTCCATAACAAACTTAACTTCATTTCAATATTTAAGCTCTGTGCATTCAATAGTGCTCCAATAAGGATAGGAGATACCTGTGAATTATTAAAAGATCTTAATTTTTTTGATTAGAAAAAGTAAGTTTCTAGAGTCTTTGAATGCTGGATTTTTTGTCTTACCCATCCATGTCAGCTAAAAAAAGAAAAAAAATCACTCAAAATATTCAGGTTTACATTTTAGCTTCCTTTCATAGGGAGTTGTCATACCTCACAGTTCAAAGTGTATTCTATAGATCAGTAACATTATACTGACATGTAATTGCAATTTACTATGCAGCAAAATGATTCAAGAAGAAAAATAACCTACAGTGTCTATTTACCTTTGTATAGGCAATTGCTTAATTTACTCTGCTTTTAACAAATATTTGTATTTGGATAAAATGCTTATGTGTGTATAGGAATGTCACAGTGCAAAATACTGCTAGCTTCGTCACAAAGTATTAAAATTATTTTGTGAAGATTGTTGGTTGTATTTAACTGTTGTGCCATTATACCTCAAAAAAAAAAAAAAAAAAAGAATATCCTCAGTCTGGGTGGGTTTACATGATGAGAATGAAACTGGTGGTGGTCAGCTCTAAATATATCAATCAAAAGAGTTCAAAGTATTTTTAATATTCATTTAATCAAACTATAGTACAGGTTTTTTTTTTTTTTTTTTAAATAGGTATACTAAGCGTAGTAGAGCACGTAGGCTTGAAGTTTCTAATTCAATCAGTCTGTGTCTTCTCAGAAATGATGGAGGGGTGTGGCAAAGGATGGTAAACCAGGAGGACAGGTTGCCACTTTTAACCATAGGATTGAGTTCTGGAGGCGTTTTAGGGGCTTTAAAACTTGTTCTCTTCATATGTGCTGTAAACAGTTTCAAGTGTTATGGGTTACAATTCAAGGAGGCCTCTGAAAGAGCTAGCCACCCGAGATGGGCAAGGCTTGTTGGTCCCACAGCCAGCGGCCGGCATCAGGAGCATGCTGCCTGCCCTTGTTTCCCAGGGAAGAGCTAGCTGTCCAGATCTCTAGATTTTGCCTGGGTCTTCAGTCTGGGCAGCGTCCCTCTCGAGGGAGGTACAGAAAGTTACAGGCCACATATATGGGGAAAATCACATCTTGGTCCTCCAGGTTCACGACCTCTAGCTCTTGATCCTTTCTCAAGGAAAGCATCTGGTATTCAGTGTCCTTCCTGAAAATGGCTCTTCCAGCCCTGTCCAAAGAGGTCAGGCGCAGGCGGAACGCGACCTTTCTTTGCCAGAGTAAGCTGACTCCGAGGCCACAAGACTTGTTCAGGGCACTGCGCCGGAAAATGATGCGTCGGTTAGTGTAGCACACCACTAGGTCCCAGCCGAAGTTGAAGCCCGCCCACCTCCAGCTGCACTGCTCGTCTCTGCGGAGCTGGCCGCCACATCTCATGCTGTTCCTCTCAAGATCAGACACACACACGTTCATGGGCCCCAGATCTCTTGTCTGCTCAGCTCGGAGCAGAGCTAGCCACTGCTCTTTATACACTGGGGTCAGCCATGCAGCAGGGATCAGTGAGTCCTGGTCGATGACTCGAGCAGAAGGCAGGTCACAGATTATGTAGGCAAGCCGCAGCTGCCGGAAGACCGGCACGAAGGCTGTGCCCTGCTCCGTCTCCAGAAAAGGGGCCCCATCCGCCTCCCTCCTGTGCCTGGCGAACCACACGTCAGCGTCGGACAATAGAGTTCTGCTGGGGCCCCTCCACGCTGGCTGCAGCTGCAGGAACATCCATTTTTTCAGGGTGGTGTACACGTCCATCTCCACCTCAATCACCAAGAGCTCTGAAGAGGCGACGAGTTCTTTCATGAGATCCCTGCTGACATCTCGCAATAACTCTTCACTACACTGGGTCATCAGGTTGTCCAGCAGCCACTGGAGGCACATGGTCCTGACACTTTGGAGCCCGTAGCTCTCGGCAGAGTAGTAGTAGCCACACACGGTCTGGGCGCCAACCGTTTCCTTCATTACCTCCTCGCACTGCTGAATCAGCTCATCCAGCTGCAGCATGCTGGCTGTGGCCAGGATAGCAATGACTCGGCTGGGCGGGATGAACACAACCTCACGGTACAGTGAGCCGAAAGCCTCGTGCAGGGCATCCCGATCGATGTTCTCGTCAGGCATCTGCAGCTCTATCGTGTTCATGGTTGTCTCCCGCCAGGCGCCGCTAAACATACTTGCGAAGTAACCGGACCGGCACAAATAGACTCTATGCAAGTTCCACTCCTCCCCCAATGCACGGATCTGCACGTCGCTGCCCTCTCCCCCCAGGAAGAGCGCCTCATAAACTGACTCGGACCTGTCCTTCGTGCGCTTCCGCCTGGGGGCTTTCTCTAGAGGCCCTGCTGGGCCTATCTTCCGTTTGCGGCCACCCTGACTGGTGGTGGGCTCAGCCTCTTCCAAACCCTCCTCTTCGCCTTCCAGTAGTACTGCTGCTTCTGCTGCTTCCTCCTCTTCCACAACTGCTCCCGGCTCTTCTGGGGCGCGCCCCACGCTGCGCCACAGCAACCTGCTGCTCAGCGCGCCCATGATCCCTACCTCAAGGGCGCGACAGACACTCTTCCTAGCCAGGCGCGACTATCCCAGCACTGGTTCAGCCCAGAGGGCTGCTGGGAACAGTTGACGTCCAGCCTCACGTCACCACGGCCGCCGCGCGAAGGGCAGACAATAAGAGAGGACCTCACTGCGCACCATTCTCTTCAGAGTTGCTTTCTCAGAGGCTCCCTTCGCAGATCGATGGGGTCACACCTTCTGTGAATTTCTTCCACTGCTTTCAAGAACACAATTTGCACTTCCTCCTCTAAAATAGAGATCATTCCTTTTTGGTGAATTAGATCTTGATCCCAGCTTCATTCTTTAGGGACCTTGTTTTCCTTTACTAACTTTTAAGACTTCTTCATCACTTTAAGCTCTAAAACCATTTTCTGTGATAGAGGTGGTAATTTTTGTCCCAAACTATGTTTTGCTTTTGAACTTTTTGTTTTTAGTATTGTCAGTTATAGAGACATTTTCAACTCTCTCCATGTTTGTGTCCAAATCAGCTGCTTTTAGGCTCATGGCTCCTTTCTCTACAAACACCCTACTTTTTAGCTTTGGGGGAGATCTTAAGATCCTAGAATATCCTTTAGCTTTATTTATGTTTTGTTGTTGTTTGCTTTTCTGCTTTTCCTCCATTTGTTTGCATATCTTGCATCCTCTGCCTGTAGCACCTTTCCTTGTTATCTCACTAGCCAAACTCCAACCCATTCCTCAAGATCTGAGATCTGCCTCAAAGTTTGCCTGTCTTTACACATCCAAGATGGAGATACCTCCTTTGTCAAAGGTACTCCAATTTGATCTTGATCAAACCTTCTATGCAGATGGTAGCAGTTTTTGTTGTTGTTGTTGCATGTAATTTTCCTTGCTATATTTTCAGTGCTTGAGGCAAGGACTGTAAGTTACTTGACACTGGATCACCAACACCAGGCACCAGACCTAGCACATAACAGACTTGCAATAAAAAATAAATTAAAAGTTGAGGAATGGATGAAATAGTTTTCCACTTTTGAGAAAATGAAAAATATGAAACACTGCAGGGAAAAAATGTAATAGTCTAAACAAATGGCATGTTGCAGAGGGGGTCTGGTTGGGAAAGTAAGTGCAATGATGAGGAAAGAAAAACATTTCTCTGAACCAGTAATGTATGATTTATTGAAGAGAGGCAAGTATTAACTGTTAAAGGATCAAAAAATTGGATTTTTATTACTCAGAGAAACCCTGGACACTGAAAAATCTCTTAAGTCATTTACCCCTGCCTAAACCAGAATGTTCCTCAAAGTGTATATTGTAGTTGTACATTATATTAAATTTAAAATGTTCTCTGTTATGGGGCTTTGCAGAGTTGTTGGTCAAAAGGGTCTAAATAAATACTAAAATAGCAAAGCAGTTGACAGTGTAGAAAAGGGAGTAGAGAGAAGGGCGACTTTAGTACTTAAGGCCTCAGTCTCAAAAGCTTATCCCCACCTAAATAGATAAAGGGTTATTCCCAACAGGGTCTACACTGAAGACAAATGAGGGACTCTGTGATTGCGCTGAATCTAAGTTAGTGATGAGAAGAACTATACTTACTCAAGAAGAAACTGCTCTGGTCAAAAAAATAAGGAAGAAAATTCAGATGAAGCATAGACTGTATTCCTTGACAGAATATAATCAAACGTGGGCTTGTGGTAGGTGATGTGGAAGGTTTAAAGAAGCAAGTATTTTATCTGGTTTGGAGGCAGTCAGGAAGTGAGGATAATAGAGGATAATATTATGAGTGTATTTTTAAAAAAAACCTTATGCATAAGAAGGACGGATTAGAGTGAATCTAAACCTGTAATTAATAAAAAATAAATAAACAAAAATATTAACTACAATAAGGGTATATCATGGGATGTACAGTGACTTTGTTTTTGTCTGTGCTTATAAGAATATATTAAGTGGCCTTGTTTTGTCTCACTTTATCGTGGTCTCAGAGTGACCTTGAAGCTGGTATTCTGTGAGATTGTTTTTATATACAATGGGAGACTAACATGACCTAGCTGCAAATGCCAGGCTAGCTTCTAAGAACACTGAGGCTTAGCTGTGAGCCACACGTCAGTTCCCAGAAGTCAAGAGATTTTTTTTCCAGCACCCATAACCCCTTTAGCTAAGGAAAGATGAAGTTTGGCCGTAAGACACTGATCCATGTTATTAAGATTTTCACCATTGCTGAGATTTTTCTGATCAGGAGTTTGTTTAGAGAAGGTAAACAAAGGCACGTACTTTCCCAACCAGACCCTCTGCAACATGCCATTTGTTTAGACTATTACACTTTTCCCTGCAGTATTTCATGTTCTTCATTTTCTCAAAAGTGGAAAACTATTTCATTCATTCCTCAACTTTTATTTTTTATTACAAGTCTGTTATGTGCTAGGTCTGTTGCCTGGTGTTGGTAATCCGGTGTCAAGTAAGTTACAGTCCTTGCCTCAAGCACTGAAAATATAGCAAGGAAAATTACATGATGTTGGACATGGGTTTGTCTCTCTTGATCCCTTTGTTGCAGGATACATTGTTCGTTGAATCCTCTGATGTGACACTGTGTAATAGCATTTAAGACTCTGGATAAGATGCATTAGCCAACTGCGGTACAAGTAATTGAAGTCAGCCAGCAGACTAGATTATATAACCCAGACAATTAATTAATCCAGCTGGGTCTGTTTTAGAGTCAAAGACAAGTTTGGGGCCATCTTTGCCAGTTGTATTATCCCTAATGTAGAAATTGTAGCTCACTAGCATATATGAAATGGAAGTTGGTTATTTCTTCTGGGAGTGTTTCAAATAAACCAGCTTGCAGGTTTTCAAATAGATTTTTCTCCAGGGAAACATGATTCGCTGGAGGGATTAGTTTTAGATATCTGAAAATCTTTTAATAATTATCCTGAATACACAGGATAAGTTAGCATGTAGTATGCATGTGTAAGCCTAAGGTTTATATAGGAAGTAGTACCCTAGTGTGCCACAGATTGTATTGGGAGTATGTTGTTGTTGGTGTTGTTAGTTGTCGTCAAGTCAATTCGGACTCATGGTGACCCCATGTGGCAGAGTAGAGCTACTCCATAAGATTTTCTTGGCTATGACCTTTCAGAAGCACATCGCCAGGCCTGTCTTCTGAGATGCCTCTGGGTGGGTTCAAACTGCCAACCTTTTGGCTGGTAGTGGAGCGCTTAACCGTTTGTGCCTCCAGGGACTCCTTATGGGCAATATAAGTATCACTTCTGTATCACAACAAGAGAAAACAAATTTTGTGTTCCTCAAGATGGACAGAGTAATCAATTTTACAAAGAGGTCTGACTATGGGGAACAAACTGAATACCATGAACAAACTATCAGGGCCAGGGTAGCACCAATATATGTGCCTACTCCTAGTTGACTATGCCTGGCTGATGGGGTTGTAATGACCTCACCAGATGTATTTTGTTGATGTGAGGTCAATATCCAATTTTTGTAAGACTGAAGTTTGGAATTCATGATGTAGGGGGGAAATAAGTATCGGAAGTGGCCTGCAAAACTAAATTTACCTTCAGAAGTGTTTAAAGGAATAGCAATTTTTCTGTTTTCTTCTCCTGTTTGATTTTTTTTTTTTTTTTTTTTGTCAGCAGGATCAGGTAGGGAATGTCAGATCTAGCATTTTTTTTTCCTTAGTTGGCATAGGGGACTATAGAGGGTCAAAATGATAGGATTTATAAGGGATATCATATTAGCATTCTAGACTACATCAAAATGTAATAATAGGTAAAATTAGTAGTAGAGTAAAGGGGCAGAAAAAGATGTTGGAGAATCAGAAAATTAATCTTGCTCTGTTATCTTGGGAGGAAACTGTCTACTTCTGAAGTCAGCGGCTTCTGGAAGATTGCTGATAACCCTCAGTCTAAGGTTTCCAGATGGAGTGAATATCCAGTAGTCAGGAGGATGTGATCAAAAACATGAATCCAAGGATCAGCACCTTGGAGTTTTACTAATGTTAGTTGTTAACAGTTCCTGAGAACATCTTTATGGAGGTGTAAGAGCAGATTTTTCTGATGCCTGTTTCAGAAGACCAAATCTCCAGGATGCAGATCATGTAAAGGCTATTTAGGCCAGTGTTTTGGAAATGCAGTTCATACCTGTGTGATAAAGCTGGGGGCAGCATATGAGTATTTTGAAGTTATTGATCATATCAGCTTGTAATGGGATAGAATCTAAAATTGGGGATGATGTTCCAAAACGTACCGGGTGGCCTGTTATTATTAAGTACATAAACTGTGGGTCCCAGGTGGTGTTGACCTTATAAACACTATAGCTAATGGTAACACTTAAGGTGATGGCAGAGTTTCCAGGAGCTTTGCTAATTTTAGCTTTAGGATTCCATATTTATCATGGATTAAATTCGTGTTATTGACTGTCTATTTCTACTTAATCTAATTTTGGTAGATTTAGAAAATAGTTTATTTCATCTAAGTTTTCAGATTGTACTTAATAGTGTGCTACTTGAAAAAAAAATCCATTATATCTGCAGTCGTGACCTCTCTTTTATTTCAAACATCTGACATTTGTGCACGCTCTCTCTCAATAACTCTTGCTGGACATTTATCTATTTCATTTCTATTTCCAAATAAACAGGGTTTGGTTTGGTTGAAATTCTTTATGGATTTTTGTTTTCTATTTATTTAATTTTGATAAATATTCCCTTTTTCCACATTCTTGCACTTATTCTGTTATTCTAATTTCATATTTTGGTTGCCTAGCTTATTAATGTGTGGTCTTTCTTCTTTTCTGACATA